CATCGGGCTTTTATGAGCGTGCGATGCCAAGCCTCTTTGATGCTGTGTTTTATGATCATGGGCTTTGCTGGTGTGTGTGTGTGTGTATTGGGGTGAATGTGAATGTCAAGCTGTGGTTAATTGGAGGCTGCTGGGTGCAGAGGAGCTGAATGCTGAACGAAGGCAGTTGAACGTGAAGGATGAGAGGCTGGTGCGCAAATGTCAGGGGAGGGCAGAGGGGCTGGGCTTGGGCGGCGGCAGGTGGAGAAGGGAGCAGTGGTTACCTGGCTGGCTGCTGTTGAGGGGTAGAGGCGGGTGGGTGAGTGGGCAGCTGGACAGGAACTGGGTTTGGACAGCAGGTAGAACTTGGCTTTGTGAAGCTGCAGGAACCAGCTTAGGCAGGAAGAAGAGGGAGGATCTGTGGGGGAGGCCAGCCCCAGGCTTGGGAGGGGAGTCTGGGCAGGCGGCCCTCCCTCGGGAGGTACTGCACATCACTGCCTTCCTGGAGGTTCTGCAGCAGACATGGAGCAGTATGGTGTCTGGGGTGGGTGTTGTCCCTTGAGAAACGAGTTCCTTGGCTTCCGACACCTGTGTAGACTCCAGACCTTTAGCCTGCTGAGCCCCTCTCCACCCACCTCTGACCTCTAGTGGCTCTAAGTCTTTGCTGGGCACCATCATCCTTGAGCTCTCTGGGCACCTTCTGCCTCTGCATCCCGCAGCTTTGGCTGCCGGGTTCCTCACCTGTCAGGTCTCTGGTCCTCTGGGAAGATACTTGTGGATTGTTGAGAGTGTCAGCCGGGACCTGGGTTGAGAGATCCCCTTAATTGTTTATGAGTCATGATGCTTTCATTCTGTTTTGAGAGAATGGCCTGTCAAAACAAGGTGCCATCCTGATGGAGATGGTTTCTAAGAAGTGGCTTCACAGCTTGTTCCCACTTGTCACTTTGTGAGCAGAAACGTGGAGCTTGTTTACACGATAGCTTTCCACATCGTCACATTTCCTCTGCACCACGGGGGAAGTGCAAAACCCTGCCTGCCTTTCCTCAGGCCATCTCGGGTGCCTGGAAAATGCATCCCCAGGGCTGGCGTCCCGTCCCAGCCTGCACCGGGCAGGGCTCTTCTTTCCACTTCTAGCAGCTCACACCATTGCCCCTCTCTCTGTTCCACCCCTCCGTGCACGCAGCCTGTTGCAGGACGTGTGCCCCTGGGCATGGGATGGTGGGTCTGCTCACGCTTCCTACACTGGACACATTTTGGGGGCCCTGGAGCCCTTCAGGCAGTGTTGTGGCGCGGGAGGGGTTGCCGCTTGGGGCCTGTGGAGCCCTCCCTCAGTGCTGGTTGCGTTTGGGGCCAGGTGCAGAGCAGGGGTCCCGCCCTGGGGGTTGAGGACAGGTCAGGCCCCGGGGTCTCCCTCAAGGGGGTCTCTGTGGGCCAGACCTGTGCCAGGCCCCAAGGCTTATGTCCACCCACCTCTTCTCAGACAGTGGGCACATCAAAGAGGTCATTGTGGCTGCTGAGGCAGAGCCCGGAGACGGAGAGGTGCCCGAGGCCCCGCCACGGCGGGGACTGGGGCTGGCTGAGGAGGCCGAGCAGGCGCAGGTGAAGCTGCTGGTGAACAAGGATGGCCGCTACGTGTGCTCGCTGTGCCACAAGACCTTCAAGACGGTGAGCCTGCGGTGGGGCTGGCGCCGGGGGCTGCGGCTGGCGTGGCCCCACTGCCCCGCCGGGCCCGGGCCCCTGAGCCGCGCCGCCGCTCCTCCGCAGGGCAGCATCCTCAAGGCCCACATGGTCACCCACAGCAGTCGCAAGGACCACCAGTGCGCGCTCTGTGGGGCTTCCTTTCGGACCAAGGGCTCGCTCATCCGGCACCACCGGCGGCACACGGGTGAGCGGCGCGGGGCCGAGGGCTGGAGGCACCCTGTCAGCCCGTCCTGACCCTGCCCTGCTCTAGACCTCGTGCCCCAGCTCCCCCGGAAAGCGGCAGGGCTCCACGCCTGCCTCCCCTCCTCCCCAGCTCACCCTGTTCTCCCCACAGATGAGCGCCCGTATAAGTGCGCCAAGTGTGGGAAGAGCTTCCGGGAGTCGGGCGCACTGACCCGGCACCTCAAGTCCCTCACGCCGTGCACAGAAAAACTCCGCTTCGGCACGAGCAAGGACGTGGTTGTGGGCAAAGAGGACGCACCTGCGGGTACGCGTGGCAGGGAGGTTGCCGGGCCGCGGGGGCCACGGGTCTGGCGACACCATTCAAGGACACGTTTTTGCTTTACCCTGAAGGGCCGGGTGCCTCTGTGGGGACAGTCACGTCTGTGGCCGGAGAGCCTGTGGAGACATCACCCGTGATTCACCTGGTGACAGATGCCAAGGGCACTGTCATCCATGAAGTCCATGTGCAGATGCAGGAGCTGCCCCTGGGCGTGAGAGCGCTGGCCCCGGAGGTAGGGGTCGCGCTAGCTTCTGCCTGCTCAGTGCCAGGCCCGGCTTAGGCCTTGGTTCCAGCTGCAGGCCCAAGGCAGACTTGTGCAAACTGAGCTCCATGGGGACCTCAGTTTGGTCTCGGGATGGGAGGGGCTGTGTGATTGGGGGGGAAGGGGAGGGGGAGAGGGGAGGGAGGGCTGGGGTTCGTCCAGTGAGCACGAAGGCCTCTGGCTGCGCACTGTGGGGCGGTGAGGATCTGCATTGAGGAACCTGGGAGGAGAGCCTGGCATGGGTCGGCTCAGTGGGGTGACTGAGAGGGCACCCCATGCTGGGCCTCTTGGCAGCCTCCCTTCACCTCCTGCAGCCACCTGTCCCTGCGGAGCGCCCCTGTTCTGTGGAGGGCAGCCGAGAGAACTTGCTGCACCAGGCCATGCAGAATTCTGGCATTGTCCTTGAGCGGGTTGCTGGGGAGGAGGGCGCCTTGGAGGCCGCCCCTCCCTCTGGGTCTGGTCCGCAGCCCCTGGGAGAGGGCCCTCCGGAGCTGCCGCTGCTGGAGGCCGAGCAGATGGAGACGGTAGGTGTCTGCTGCTGGCGTGCCGTGTGCTTCCCGGCCCGGCTGCCGGCTCCCTGCAGCCGGAAGTAGCATCGCTTTCTGCGGTGACTTTGCTTCCTGGCCTGTTTCCTGTCTATTCCTTGGGCTACTAGGGAGCCCGGGGGGAGGGGGGGGACAGGGAGTGGGGAGCAGGAGTGGAATCTTCTGCTTGTGCCTGGGGCGCAACCCAAAGTGGGTGTTTAGCTCTGCCATATGGTCTCCCAGCAGATGGCCAGAGAGGCTTCGGCTGTGCCCAGGACCCACCTGTGTCCTCAGTGCAGCGAGAGCTTTCCCACGGCTGCCACCCTGGAGGCCCACAAGAGAGGCCACCAAGGTGGGTGGCAGGGTTTGGGCGGCCACAGGCAGCAGAGGTGCGGTTTATGGACTGTGGTTGTGTCTGACCCGAGCGTGTTCGGCCACAGGGCCGAGGCCGTTCACCTGTGCGCAGTGCGGCAAGGCCTTCCCCAAGGCTTACCTGCTCAAGAAGCACCAGGAGGTGCATATGCGCGAGCGCCGCTTCCGCTGCGGGGACTGCGGGAAGCTCTACAAGACCATCGCGCATGTGCGCGGCCACCGGCGCGTCCACTCGGACGAGCGGCCCTTCCCCTGCTCCCAGTGCGGCAAGCGCTACAAGACCAAGGTACGCACTGGCCCCTCGCCCCCCCCTGACCCCCCACTCCACTCAGACCCGGAGGCTGGGTCGGGGAGCTGGGGTCCTGTGCTGAGGCCCGGCCGCATCCCCTCAGAATGCCCAGCAGGTGCACTTCCGGACACACCTGGAAGAGAAGCCACACATTTGCCAGTTCTGCAACCGGGGCTTCCGGGAGAAGGGCTCGCTGGTGCGCCACGTCCGGCACCACACGGGGGAGAAGCCCTTCAAGTGCTACAGGTGTGGCCGTGGCTTTGCAGAGCACGGCACGCTCAACCGGCACCTGCGCACCAAAGGTGTGGCCCTGGCTGGGGGGCGGGGGTGGGGGGCTGGGTCTGACAGGGTGTGACCCCCTCCTGCCCGCCCACCCGCCCCAGGGGGCTGTCTGTTGGAGGTGGAAGAGCTGCTGGTGTCTGAGGAGCGCTCTGCGGCCGTGCTCACAGAGGACCCCCACGCCCACGCGGTGCTGGTGGAGTTCTCGTCCGTGGTGGCCGACACCCAGGAGTACATCATTGAGGTGAGGTGGGTGTGTGGCGGGCGGGACGCAGCTCTGCTCGGGCCAGCACGGGCTGACCAGGACTGTCTGTTCAGGCCACTGCAGATGATGCGGAGACCAGTGAAGCTGCTGAGATCATTGAGGGCGCCCAGACAGAGGTGAGGGCAGGGGCGGGGCGGGGGCGGGACGGGCGGGCGGACTTGCCACCAGGTGGTCCCTTGAGCCAAACAGTGCCCCCAGGTGGACAGCCACATCATGAAGGTGGTGCAGCAGATCGTGCATCAGGCCAGTGCTGGGCACCAGATCATTGTGCAGAATGTGACCGTGGACCAGGAGGCGGCGCTGGCCCCCGAGGCGGCGGCGGCCGACACCATCACCATCGCCACGCCGGAGAGCCTCACGGAGCAGGTGGCCATGACGCTGGCCTCGGCCATCGGGGAGGGCACCGTGCTGGCGGCCCGGGCAGGCGCAAATGGCACCGAACAGGCCACAGTGACCATGGTGTCATCCGAGGACATTGAGATTCTTGAGCATGGCGGCGAGCTGGTGATCGCATCGCCCGAGGGCCAGCTGGAGGTGCAGACTGTCATCGTGTAGGAGGGGCCGCGTCCCTGCGGGCCAAGGGCAAGGGCAGGACCCCTGGGTGTCTGCCCATACCTGCCTGGCCTACACAGGAGACGGCATAGAACTTCAGGCATCCGGAGGAGATGGGGCGTGTGAATACGTAAAGGTTTTTTTTGTTGTTGCTTTTCAATAAAATATGAAAACCTGCAGCTTGTGATGTTGGGGCGGTGGCAACCCAGGGCCGTGCCACTGCTGCTGCAGGTGCCCTCTGGAGGCGGCTGCCTGGCTGGACCACCCTCTGCTCTCCAGTGCCTGCTCCAGCCCGGGGGCTCTGCCAGCCCTGGCGGCGCCTCCGTGGCGTGTGGGTGTCTCTGGCATGTGGATAGGCTGCCTTGCCCAGCTGGAGCTGTGATCCCAGTTCCCCTAGCCGTGCCAGAGGGCGAGGATGGGGATGGGTGCTGCTGCCTTGCCGGCCGCCTCCTGCTGTGGGGCTGTCCTGGGCGTGTGCGCTGAGGCTGAGACGCGGGGCTGGGACAGGCCCAGCTGCTTTTTTCTCTCTGAGGTGAGGACAGGTGTCAGAAACAGCAGGGGGTGGCTGGCCAGGATGGGACTGGTCTTTCTCCATTTCTCCACCTATTTCTCTTAGGGAACACAGCTCAAGGAAGCAAATTCTGGGTGACCTAATTTCTGGGGAGGTGGAGGCAAGAACAAGATCTAGGCTGTGGGTGTGCCTTTCCTCTTCAATCCTGGGCCATTCTAGGGGGCTGTCAAGGGCTTTTCCCATTGTTCAGGGCAGGCCTGGAGCAGGGCAAGGGCCTCTGCCATCATGCTGGGGCAGCCTCCTCTCCTTTGCCCTCTTGGATCTCTGGGAACAAGAGCTAGGAGTTCTGGCCTCCACTGGGGTGGGGGTGGGGGTGGGGGCGGGGCCCACACCAGCCCCTCCCCTGGACCAAAGGCCTCAAATACCTGCTGGTGCATTGGCATGAGAGCTGCTGTGGAACCAAGACGCAGCAGGTCCTGGCCACAGCATCCTCCAACCTGGCCTTCACCCCAGTGGCTCAGGACTCCAGAGCCTCGCCACACCAAGTCCACATCCCAGGTAAGTCAGGCTTGAGTGAGCTGGGGATGGGTGTGGGGGGCAGTCCTCCATCTGAGCCTCAGTTTTCATCATGGGAGACAGTCTTGAGTTGACAGCCACCCCCTGTGCTACCCCACCCCGGGGGCACAGTGGGGACAGTGGAGAGGTAGAATGTGCTGTTGGGAAGGCCACTGGAGTGGAAGGCAAGCCTGGTTTCCCAGGCTGGGTGTGGGTTGGCGTGCGTAACTTGTTGGCTGTGCCTGTCCCTCAGGCTGCCGGTTTGTCATGGGTGGGCCCTGGGCCGTGCTGGCTGCGCTCTGGGCACTCGGGGCTGCCGGGGCTGCTGCGTTGCGTATCGGAGCCTTCAACATCCAGAGCTTTGGTGACAGCAAAGTGTCAGACCCAGCCTGTGGCAGCGTCATAGCACAGGTGAGGCACGGCTGGGGGTGGGCGGCCGGCCCTGTGGGCGGTCTATGGGTGTGCGGCCCTGTGGGTGAGCGGCCGGGCACTGTGGGTGAGTGGCCGGCCCTGTGGGTGAATGAGTGGCCAGGCCCTGTGGGTGAGTGGCCGGGCCCTGTGGGTGAGTGGCCAGGCACTGTGGGTGAGTGGCCGGCCCTGTGGGTGAATGAGTGGCCGGGCCCTGTGGGTGAGTGGCCGGACCTGTGGGTGAGTGAGTGGCCGGGCACTGTGGGTGAGTGAGTGGCCAGGCACTGTGGGTGAGCGGCCGGGCCCTGTGGGTAGGTGAGCGGCTGGGCCCTGTGGGTGGGTGAGTGGCCGGGCACTGTGGGTGAGTGAGTGGCCGGGCACTGTGGGTGAGTGGCTGGCCTGTGGGTGAGTGAGTAGCCGGCACTGTGGGTGAGTGGCCGGGCACTGTGGGTGAGTGAGTGGCCGGGCACTGTGGGTGAGCGGCCGGGTACTGTGGGTGAGTGGCCGGGCACTGTGGGTGAGTGGCCGGGCACTGTGGGTGAGTGGCCGGGCACTGTGGGTGAGTGAGTGGCCGGGCACTGTGGGTGAGTGAGTGGCCGGGCACTGTGGGTGAGTGAGTGGCCGGCACTGTGGGTGAGTGGCCGGCACTGTGGGTATGCGGCCGGGCTTGTGGGCGGGTAGCCGGCTGCACACCCGCGGCTCCTCCCCAGATCCTGGCGGGCTATGACGTGGTGCTGGTACAGGAGGTGCGAGACCCAGACTTGAGCGCCGTGTCGGCGCTGATGGAGCAGATTAACAGGTGCGATGTGTGCCCAGCGTCCCGCGCTCCCCCGCCCCCCCCCCCCTCCCCGCGCCCGGACTCAGGCCCGGTCTCCCCTCAGCAAGTCCCGGCACGAGTACGACTTCGTGAGCAGCGCGCCGCTGGGCCGGGACCACTACAAGGAAATGTACCTGTTCGTCTACCGGTGAGCAGAGTGGCGGCGGGAGGGCGCGGGGCGCGGGGCGCGGGGCGGCTCAGCGGGCCCGTGTCCTCTGCCCCAGGAAAGCCGCGGTGTCGGTGGTGGACACCTACCAGTACCCGGACCCGGAGGACGCCTTCAGCCGGGAGCCTTTCGTGGTCAAGTTCTCCGCGCCGGGCTCCGGTGAGGCTGGCCCCGCCCCCACATTGGCCACGCCCCTCTGCCCCCCCCCCCCGCCCTTACTCCGGGCTACCATGGCCACGCCCCTCCACCAGCCGCCCGTGCCTCGCCCCCTCCGGGCAGCCCAGGCCCCGCCCCCACCCTCCGGGCAGCCCCGCCCCTCCGGCTCCGCCCTCGCCCCGCCCCTCAGGCCTCCTTTCCGCAGCCGCCGGGGAGCTGGTGCTGGTCCCGCTGCACGCCGCGCCACACCAGGCCGTGGCGGAGATCGATGCCCTGTACGACGTGTATCTGGACGTGATCGACAAGTGGGGCACCGACGTAAGCCGCCCCGGGTCCCGGCAGGCCCGCGTGGGGGTCCGGGCCCGCGTGACCGCGCCCCCACCTCTCCGCAGGACATGCTGTTCCTGGGCGACTTCAACGCCGACTGCAGCTACCTGCGCCCGCAGGACTGGGCGTCCATCCGCCTGCGCAGCAGCGAGGTCTTCAAGTGGCTCATCCCCGACAGCGCCGACACCACGGTGGGCAACTCGGACTGCGCCTACGACCGCCTGGTGGTGTGCGGCGCCCGCCTGCGCAGGAGCCTCAAGCCGCACTCGGCCGTCGTGCACGACTTCCAGGAGGAGTTCCACCTGGACCAGGCCCAGGCGAGTGTGGCGCGGGACCCGGGCCCTCCGCACCCCGGCCCTCCCAGGCGCTGAGGCTCCACTTCCTTTCCCTCCAGGCTCTTGCTATCAGTGACCATTTTCCCGTGGAGGTGACCCTCAAGTCCCACTGACAGCGAAGGCCCGGCCGCGGCCACCACTTACCCTCAGATTCCGAGAAACGGACACTGTGCGAGGTGGCCAGCCACCCCCGCCCCATCAGTGAGGACATGGGGCAGGGTCATCTGAATGTGGAAGAGTACCTCAGTTTCCCCACCTGTAGGATGGTTACCAGCACCTTCCCCATAGGGTTGGGTGAACACTGTCCTGGCTCACACCTGTACATTAATAAATAAGCCGCTCTCAGCCAGAACCACGATGGGGACTAAAAGTTCTCTGTTCATGCTGAGGGCCAGCTGTGCTGGAGTGCAGTCTGATCCTGGGGGGCCTTCTACCCACCTCCCTTCGGGAACAGGGACAGCCTACACCAAGTTGTCCTGTGGGGACGGCTATGAGACAGCTCAGGGAAGTTGTCCCCCTTCCTCCCCATGCTTCTGAGAATGGAGTGGAGCTGGGGGGGGGGGGGGTGGCTTCTTGGTTTCAGAGCAGGCTGATGCCATGCTGCCACCAGGGAGCCTTAGGCACTCACCGGATCCAGAGGCCTAGACTCCACGGGGAGCCCCGAGAACAGGTAGGCCACTTGGGCCTAAGACTCTGCCCGGTGACTGTACACTAGGCTGGGTACAGCCTTCAGACGCGCATCCCTGCTTGGAGCCTGGGCTGAGCGCAGGCTCAGGACAGTGCTTCGCACCCAGGAGAGCCAGCCCACCCCTTAGCAGGAATGCATGGGACCCTGTGATGTTTTGGCTTTCCGAGCATCTCTTTGACAGGATTTCAGCTTGCCAGAAGGGAAAAGCTGTTCAGAAAGTGGTGCTGGGGTTGAACCCATGTAAGGCAGGCATCCACCTGGAGCTATATCCCCCGCCCCCAAGTTTGGTTCTTATGTAAGATTTTCCCAAGGTGCTTCAGGTCCTTGCCTCTGGTTGAATGATGAGGGTGCTCAGGGGCTTTTAGGGGGAGGGGCAGGTCTCTGGGCCACTGGATTCCGAAACTGCCTGGACTCCCTGCCAGCAGGCAGGGAGGATAGGACAGGTCCAAAGGACTTTATTTACAATGCTGCTTTGGGACGGGGGACACTCAAGTACAAACGTATACAGTGTCCCCTTGCCACTCATTTCCAAAGTCCATACCCTGTCCTGCCAGGCGAGAAGGTGGAGGGCCTTCCATCTAAGACAATCAGGAAATGTAAAGTGAGAGGGCTTTGTAAGTTGAAAAATACCTTGCTTGACCCCCAGAGAACCTTGAGCGGCCCTGAGGACTCTCCTGGTGGGCTTGAAACCCATACGCAGCTGAGCTTAACCTTTCTTTTGTTTGAGCTTTTCTAAGTATATGTGCAGGGACTTCTGGATGGAGTCTTTGGAGATGAAGCTGACGAAGTTCTGGATGTCGGCCTCGCGCTGTTTGATCAGGAGATCTGCTGTGGCTTTGCGCATCATGTTCTTGGTCAGCTGTCGAGCATGCTCTAAAGAAAATGGGATTCACCCGTGAAAACGCACCTTATTTCTCTCTATGAGAATACTCTCTCTGAGTATTCAAACAGAAACTTGGTCATGAGGCTGTGGTGGCCACATGTCCAGTCCTAACAGTTATGCAAGTGGAGACCAGAGGACCCCAGTCCATCACAGTGGGCACAAGATTCTATCTGAAAACCATGACTTAAGTGATAGTGTGTTCAACTAGCACTGCAAAATCAAAAAACCCAAGCTGGCAGAGAACTTAGAGTGTCAGGTAGAAGACAGCAGCCACTGTCCCTGCTGCCTACCAACTTCTCTAAAAACATTGGCATTTGTGGAGATTGCTTTCTTGATGTGGTACCTTCACTGAATTGTATTTTGAAAATGCATTGTGGACACATATTAGAAGTTGACACACACTAAGAATATTTCTAGTGCTCTACCACTAGAGCCACAGAACCACTTCTGGTTTTCTGGTGGTTAACTGGAGATAAGAGTCTCATGCCTGGGCGCCGGTGGCTCACGCCTGTCATTCTAGCTACTCAGGAGGCTGAGATCTGAGGATTGCAGTTCAGAGCCAGACTGGGCAGGAACGTCTGTGAGACTCTAATCTTCAGTAAACCACTCAGAAAACCAGAAGTGGAATTGTAGATCAAGTGGTAGAGCACTAGCCTTGAGCTGAAGAGCTCAGGAAAGCACCCAGGTCCAGAGTTCAAGCCCCATAACTGACCAAAAACAAAAAACAAGAGAACAAAACAAGTCTCACAGATTTTCCTGCCTGGGCTGGCTTTGAACCTCAGTTCTCTAATCTGTCTCCTGAGTAGGATTACAGGAGTGAGCCACTGGCACCCGGTCCAACTGTCCATTAATGGATATGCTCAAGTTGTAAACACCCCTACAGCCTGAAATGTGACCTTATCTAGAAAATGTCTAGATTTTTGAGATGAGATGGCTTAGGGTACAAGCAGGGCCCTAATTCAAAGCAGAAACCCTTGGAAGATCTGGGACAGACACAGGAGGGGAAGTCCCTACGTAGAAGTGATTCTGTTGTCTGTAAGAACAAGCGGAGTCCACCAGGAGCTGAAGAGGCCAGGGAGGCCCACAGCGCAGGCGGGTGGCTGCTGGCTGCTGGCCGCCGGCCGCCGGGCTGTGTGTGGTCCTTCGATAGAGTGAGTGGCCCTGCCTCACTGAGGTGGATCTGAGGGGGGCTTCCCTTTGCCCCGGCTCCTCACCTGGGATGGCCAGCCACTGGGCCATCACGGAAAGGGCTTTGCTCTGCACCTGGTCCTCGGGTACCACCTGGTCCACCATGCCCACCTGCAGGGCGTCTGCAGGGGGGAAGAGCAGCCCGAGCTGCAGGGCCCGCTCCGCCGTCCGGTGCCCGATGGTGTTCACTAACGTGTCTTTGAACCTGGAATGCAGATGCCCACTCACTTCTGCCTCTGGGATCTGTTCAACCCAAGTCCACAGGCAGTGTGGATGCAGTTCTGGGTCTTACCAGAAGGGGGCGACGATGCCAAGCAGGGTCTCATTCAGTCCTATGTTGTACTTGGGGTTGTCAGCCAGGACTCTGTAGTCTGAGCAGAGAGCCATCAGACAGCCCCCGGCAGGAGAGGCACCCTGCAGGGAGAAGCCGGAGATACCCAAAGAAGGGCTGGGTGTGTGCCCATGGGTGTAAGCATGGCCATGCAGTCATCAGCCAGCGGCCGACCACAGCAACTTCAGCTTCTGGGTCCAGAAAAATCCCTCTCCTGGGCGGGGAAGGTGGCTCAGTGGTAGAGCGCTTGCCTTGCATGCCAGAGGCCCTGAGTTTGATTCCTCAGTACCACATAAGCAGAAAAAGCCAGAAGTGGCACTGTGGCTCAAGTAGAGTGCCCAGGCCCAGAGTTCAGGCCCCACAACCAACAAAAAAAAAATCCCTCTCCTAGTCTTTGGGTCAGGGGTCACATGGCTTCTCTTTAGTTGCTGTACACTAGTTTTCGGAACCAGCACTGAGCCACAGTGCTCATCTCACCTCAGGCCCCATGGACTAACCTGGGGTGTGGGAGGAGCCCCAGGCAGCAGGCGGGGCATCTCATCCCTTCCGCTCCTCCCCTCCTGGGGCTGCAGCTCCACCCTCCCACCAGCTGGTGCTGCTCTTCGGCCCCCCCCTCACCTTCCAGGTCTGACCAGAGTAACATAAAATGCATATCTGGACGCAGGCTGGTCATCTTGGCCCCGCTCCCCAACTGGCCTGGAGCCGGTGAGAGGCCCTAAGGTAGGAACACTCACGTTGATAGCGGAGATCACCACCATGTTGGACAGATAGAGCCTCAGCCACAGCTCCTGCACCGCTCTCCAGTACTCGGCATAGTGGGCCGGGTTCCGCCCGCACATCTCCCTCAGGTCCAGGCCGGCAGAGAAGATGCCAGGGCGGTCCTGTGGGGAAGCAACCAGGGCCGAGCTGTCAGTCCACCTCCGGGTCAGCAGCATTCCTGCTGGCAGGGCTGGGATCTGTCGGGAGTCAGGACGTGGCTCCTCCCTCCCCAGCTTCAGGCAGACACTGCCCAACTCATTCAAGACTGAGACTGAACTGGTCCGGGAGGGCCTAAGGGTAGTGACAAGCCTCTTTACAAGGGCAAGGAAGCGCACACGAGGAGAAGTCCCAGCACAGGACTCTGGGTACCACTGGGAGCCTCACAGCCTTTAGAGGAAACAACCTCCTGGTGTGCAAGTCAGAATGGGGAACCACTGGTGGAGCCGATCACAGCAGCCACAGGACATCCACACAGATGCCATGATTATGTGCTGAGTGCTCCCTGTGGGCCAGGACCTGTGTTCAGTACACAGCAGGTGCACAACACAGAACACAAACTCATCAAGGCATTGCCTCTGGAGGAGCTGCGATCACACACGGCACGGCGTGGGCCCTCTCATTCAGAAGCTCCTGGATCTGGGAGACAGCTTTCTCACTGCAGCAAGAAAGTGTCCTGCTAGGGCTGGGAAGGTGGCTCAGTGGTAGAGTGCTCGCATAGCATGCATGAAGCCCTGAGTGCCATTCCTCAGTACCATAGACACAGAAAAAGCCAGAAGTGGAGCTGTGCCTCAAGTGGTAGAGCGCTAGCCTTGAGCAAAAGCTCAGGGACAGCACCCAGGCCCTGAGCTCAAGCCCCACGACTGAAAAATACATAAAGAAAAAAAAAGCAAGTGTCCTGCTAGCCAAAGCCATCTTGGAGTGTTTCAGAGTCATCTGAGACTGTGGGAAAGCAGCTTGGGGCTCTGGTGCATCCGAGCTCCCAGTCTACCCACCAGGAGAGTCTGCAGCAAGCCCCCTGCACCAGCCAGGTGAGGTGGGCGTGGGGGCGCGCTGCTCTGCGTCTCCAGCTCCAGGGCAAAAGGACTGCCAGCAGCCAAGAGCCGCCCCTGACAGAACTGGGTGCCCACCGGGATCCTTGGGAAGTTACAGTGGCTGCTCCCGGGTCCACCCCCTTGACCAAGAAGGCAAGGTGTATGTCTGACCCGGCACCTTTGCTGACCATGATTCGGCTGTCCCGTGGTGCCTGCCCTGGATTTTTTTTTTTTTTTTCGGTTGTGGGGCTTGAACTCTGGGCCTGGGCGCTGTCCCTCAGCTCTTCAGCCCAAGGCTAGCACTTTACCACTTGAGCCACAGCGCCACTTCTGGTTTTCTGGTGGTTTATTGGAGATAAGAGTCTCACAGACTTTCCTGCCCAGGCTGGCTTTGAACCATGATCCTCAGATCTCAGCCTCCTGAATAGCTAGGATTACAGGTGTGAACCACTGGCGCCCAGCCTACCCTGGATTTTGTATCATGGTGGCCACTCAGCTCTGGAGAATAAGCACTGTTGGCCTCATAGTGATCTTCCCAACCAGTGAGGGTTGGAGTTAGTACCACACTCGTGGTCCTGGCACCGAGGGGTGCTGTATGAGCAGCAAGGCTCAAGCTGTCTGGT